CGTGCCGGCCGGAACCGCACGTCCACTGGGTAGCCCTTCCGCAGCAGGGCTAGAAAGAGGAGGCGGCTCGGCGGGGAGACTCCCATTCCGTCTCACGGTATTAAGTAAGAAAACGATCAGAGTAGTGGTATTTCACTGGCGGCCGCCCACCTGGATGAACGACCTCCCACTTATGCTACACCTCTGATGTCTCTCTACAAAATCAGACTAGAGTCAAGCTCAACAGGGTCTTCTTTCCCCGCTGTTTAGTGCAGGCCCGTTCCCCTGCCTGTGGGTTCTCTAGATAGTAGATAGGGACAGTGGGAATCTCGTTAATCCATTCATGCGCGTCACTAATTAGATGACGAGGCATTTGGCTAGTAATACTCACAACAATATTTATTAGTAACAACACGGAGCCGCTTCCTGCGTGCCCGGACGCTCTTCACTTTATCTAATTTCCTTTAAAAATTAAAAACTCAAATGCACAACGGTGCCCCTAAAATCTGACTATCTTGCAGGGATTACCAGGTTCCCTGCACAACCACTCTCCTGGCATTTCTTCCCTTCCGCAATATCCATCCTGGTAGGGAGCTCCCCGCAGTGCTTGGATGTTGGTCACCGGATGTCTTAGATGTAGTCGGCAACTGGCACCCCATCCCACCCCATTAAGATATTTTAAGGGCCTTATTTATTAACCGCCGGCCCTGCTGGCGGCTGCTGGTTTGGGAGGGCTGCCAGTTGCTCGTGGTGACACACTTGTGGAGCTCATGGATGAGGCTGCTGTCCGTGTCTCTGTTGCAGAAGGAATCGGAGCGATGGTCATCTCCGACTTGTCAGGAGAGGACTAAAACCTAGTTAAAAATTTAAAAGAATGAATGAGTTGGAACCTCTTGTCTAAGTTTTTAGAATAGAGCGCCCGCCACAGCAGGCCCGAACTCCGAGTGTGTCCCGGGAGCAGCAGCACCCCGGTGGATTGGAGCTCTTTGGCAGGGATAAGATCAAACTGCCCTGCTTGCAGTGTGGGCGAACGCCCCAGCCCCAGCATTCGGGCCGCGGAGCGACATCCTAGCCGTCCGCCTGCAGTCTGAGGGATCTAAGGATGTTTATAGATCCCTCAATGGCCATTGTGACAAGTATCTCGATGCCCGCGCGTCTGATGCCCAACCGGCTGAGCAGCTTGATAGTGGCTGGTCTTATGCCACCTCGTGCACCGAAGGCAACACCCAGGAAGTTCACTGCAGCTACCGGGGGCAGCGAGCTGTTATTAGCAATGAACCTCCTGATGTCGACCTCGTGTGCACGGTACTTATCGATCTTGTGCTGCTCAGCTAAGCGAAGGTTGTTAATATCGCTTTCGAAGGGCACACAGACGTCGAGCACCGAGTACTGGCCATTTTTCTGCAGGATCAGATCAGGCTTCACGAACGTGTGACCACTTTGTACTCGCGGCTCTAAGAGTACATGGAAGCCTTCTCCCTGTAGCCACTGTTTTAGCTTAAGGAGGATACGGTCATGTCTTGTCACCCTGTGGTTTTGGGCAGCAGGACACCTCTGTAAGAGATGTAGTATATCCTCCTGCCCTTCCCCACATTGGCGACAGGTCAATCTTCCCAAGTCCTCATTAGGCACCCGGCCAATGGCTCAAGAGACTCGGCAGTTGATGGTCTGAGACCTGAGTCGCAATAGGTCGATGGCTTTCCTGCCTGGGCCTAGATCATTTCGCAAGAAGTTCTCTGCCCCCTTGCCATGCCAGGATGTACTCCACTCTTCCCTCTTCTTCCGCAACAGCGACCTTTTAAATTGAGACAAGGTGTTGTTGTCTACATGGCCTACCCGGAAGTGCCTCGCCATTGCCCCGACTTCGCGACCCCAGAGACCCCCAGAGGCTATAAACCTTACTGCAGGGTCGTCTGAGGCCTCGAGACGCCGGAGCAGTCCCATCTTCTGCTGGGCAACGGTCTCCAATAGCGAGGGCACTCCCACGCCCCCGTCTCTCATGGGTAGGCCAATGGCCGCTGTATTGAGCGTCCGAGGTAGGCGGAGCCATTGCCTGGTCCGGTCGCGAAGGGTCCTGTCTAGTGCCCTGAGAAGGTTCATAGAACAGGATCCCTTCACATACCTATACTGAAGCCTCGGGATAATCTGAGACTTCAGTATCTTGATCTTTTGCAAGGGTTTCAGCGAAGAACCTCCTATTTTCTCCATGATGTTCAGGAGTTTTTGTTTTTCGCCATCGACCCTACTCCCCGGTCTCTCAAGTCCTGAGGGCCCCACTTGGAGCCCTAAGTACCTCACGTACTCATCAGGTTCAATTCTTGGTAGGTATTCGGCCAGACCCGTGGTCGAGTTCAGCATTGTAAAGCATTCCTCGGTCACGACCCTGAGCTTCACACCATACCTACCCCTTGCAGCCCGCTCAAGACCCAGTGTGGCACACTTCGTGGGCTGCGCGGCCAGTTTACCCGCGCTTGGTTGAATTTCTTCACTTTGACATTCAGAGCACTGGGCAGAAATCACATTGCGTCAACATCCATCAAAGACCATCGCAATGCTTTGTTTTAATTAGACAGTCGGATTCCCCTGGTCCGTGCCAGTTCTGAGTTGATCGCTGGGCGCCAGCCGAAGTGGGATTGTAGTGAACCGAACGGCCCCGCCTCCCCCCCGCACCTCTTACTACAAGAGCTTTGGAGGGACGGCGAACACCGCCCGAGAACACGCCCACGCAGCCTAGCGCGTTCCACGGAAGGGCCGGAGGTACGCCGGTCCGAGCTCAAGATGAGAGGCGCTTATAGCTACCGTAGCACGCCCTGCACGAGAGGAGCGCATATGTGCGATCATCCTCGCCGACTTAACCACGCAGTTTTCTGCCCTAACGCTCCCTACCGCCACCAGTCCCAACTCCAGGCCCACTTCCCATTGCGTCCGACCGGGTCTGCATCCTCAGAGCCATCCTTATCCCGGGTTACGGATCTAATTCTGCCGACTTCTTTACCTACATTATTAGTCTATCGACCAGAGAAGGCTGCTTTGCACTGGAGACCAGATGCGGTTGCGTGGCACGACAGCCCGGAAAAGCAGACGCCGTCGAAACGAAGTCTGTAATGCTGCCTGGGACAGTTAACCACCCTCGCATTTTTTCACGGACCAGCGGTGGTACTCGACGCCAAGAAGAAATCATGGGCGCTTACTTAAGCAACTGTCTACTTCAACGCCTCTGAATGAGATTTCTAGGCCATTATGCCTAAACAGAAAAAGAGAACTCTTTCCCGGACCACCGCCGGTGGACGCGAGCTGGTTTCAGTTGCCAGAACCCTTCGCGGGCATGTAGCATTCCCAAAGGGCGCACACACACCCGCTAGGGTTCCAGGCCTGGTTACGGAATAAGTACCGTATTCCCTTTCGCCACTCATCCTTTGGCCTTTCACTTTGTTAGACTGTGTTATATAAGACCGAGGTAGATAGAACCCCTACTTAGTTGTTCTTCTTCTCCTCTGCTCGTGTTGCATTTGCCTCGAGCGTGATCATCAGGCCTTAGCCCTGGGCTTAGGAGCGATTAACCCATGTCCTGCTTCTCAGGATAGCTGGAACTCGCAGGGTGAATTTCATCCGGTAAAGCGAATGATTAGAGGTCTTGGGGACGAAACGTCCTCAACCTATTCTCAAACTTTAAATGGGTGAGATGCCGAGCTTGCTTGTAGGGATGAAGCTCCGGCGACTAATCTGAGTATCTAGTGGGCCACTTTTGGTAAGCAGAACTGGCGCTGTGGGATGAACCAAACGTCGAGTTAAGGGGCCTAAATGAATGCTCATTCAGATCCCATTGAAAGGCGTTGGTTGCTATAGACAGCAGGACGGTGGCCATGGAAGTTGGAATCCGCTAAGGAGTGTGTAACAACTCACCTGCCGAAGCAACTAGCCCTTAAAATGGTATGGCGCTCAAGCATTTTCCCGATACTCGACCGCCGGGCGCACTACCGGCCTCGCTCTCAAGGCGAGGTCTCGAAGCCCCGGTGAGTAGGAGGGTCGCAGTGGTGAGCGCTGAAGGGTTTCTTGGCGTGGGCCGGCCTGAGCTGCCACTGGTGCAGATCTTGCAGCAAATAATGGTAGACTTTGATGACCGAAGCGGAGAAGGGTCCATGTGAACATCAGTTGACAAGTGTTAGTCGCTCCTAAGCCCAGAAAAGAAGGCCTGATCCACGCTGAGGCAAATGCAACACGAGCAGAGGAGAAAGAAACAACTCAAGTAGGGGTTCTATCTATCTACCTCGGTCTTATATAACACAGTCTAACAAAGTGAAAGGCCAAAGGATGAGTGGGCGAAAGGGAATATGGTACTTATTCTCAGAATTGTGCCTGGAACCCCTGAAGGGTGTGTGTGCCCTTGGGAATGCTACATGCCCGCCAAGGGTCCCAAGTAACTGAAACCAGCTCGCGTCCACCGGCGGTGGTCCGGGAAAGAGTTCTCTTTTCTGTTTAAGGCGCCGTGGCCCTAGAAATCTCTCATTCAGAGAGAGGGCGTTGGTAAGACGGTTAGCCGTAGAGCGCCGCGGTTCTTGCGGCGTCCCGAGTGCCACCGCCGGTCCGTGAAAAATGCGAGGGTGGTTATCCCAGGCAGCATTGTCAGAACTCGTTTCCGGCGGCGTCTGCTTTTCGGGCCTGTACGTACCCATAACCGCATCTGGTCTCCAAGGTAAGCAGCCTCGGGTCGATAGACTAATGTAGGTAAGGGAAGTCGGCAAATTAGATCCGTAACTTCGGGATAAGGATTGGCTCTGAGGATCGGGCCAGTCGGGCCTGTGCGGGAAGCGGGCCTGGGTTCAGGCGCAGGACTGGGCGAGGTGAGGGTAGGGACGTTAGGGCAAACTGCCGTGGTTCGTCCGGCGAGGGATGATGTCGCACATGTGCGCTCCTCTCTCGTGCTGGGCGCGCTGCGGTGGCCTAGCGCCTCTCTAAACCGAGCTCGGACCGGCGTACCTCCGGCCCTTCCGTGGAACGCGCTAGGCTGCGTGGGCGTGTTCTTGGGCGGTGTTCGCCGTCCCTCCAAAGCTCTTGTAGTAAGAGGTGCGGGGGGGAGGCGGGGCCGTTCGGTTCACTACAATCCCACTTCGGCTGGCGCCCAGCGATCAACTCAGAACTGGCACAGACCAGGGGAATCCGACTGTCTAATTAAAACAAAGCACTGCGATGGTCTTTGATGGATGTTGACGCAATGTGATTTCTGCCCAGTGCTCTGAATGTCAAAGTGAAGAAATTCAACCAAGCGCGGGTAAACTGGCCGCGCAGCCCACGAAGTGTGCCACACTGGGTCTTGAGCGGGCTGCAAGGGGTAGGTATGGTGTGAAGCTCAGGGTCGTGACCGAGGAATGCTTTACAATGCTGAACTCGACCACGGGTCTGGCCGAATACCTACCAAGAATTGAACCTGATGAGTACGTGAGGTACTTAGGGTTAAGTGGGGCCCTCAGGACTTGAGAGACCGGGGAGTAGGGTCGATGGCAAAAAACAAAAACTCCTGAACATCATGGAGAAAATAGGAGGTTCTTCGCTGAAACCCTTGCAAAAGATCAAGATACTGAAGTCTCAGATTATCCCGAGGCTTCAGTATATGTATGTGAAGGGATCCTGTTCTATGAACCTTCTCAGGGCACTAGACAGGACCCTTTGCGACCGGACCAGGCAATGGCTCCACCTACCTCGGACGCTCAATACAGCGGCCATTGGCCTACCCATGAGAGACGGGGGCGTGGGAGTGCCCTCGCTATTGGAGACCGTTGCCCAGCAGAAGATGGGACTGCTCCGGCGTCTCGAGGCCTCAGACGACCCTGCAGTAAGGTTTATAGCCTCTGCGGGTCTCTGGGGTCGCGAAGTCGGGGCAATGGCGAGGCACTTCCGGGTAGGCCATGTAGACAACAACACCTTGTCTCAATTGAAAAGGTCGCTGTTGCGGAAGAAGAGGGAAGAGTGGAGTACATCCTGGCATGGCAAGGGGGCGGAGAACTTCTTAGGAAGCCGGGCCAGCAATGCCATCTTGCGAAATGATCTAGGCCCAGGCAGGAAAGCCATCGACCTATTGCGACTCAGGTCTCAGACCATCAACTGCCGAGTCTCTAGAGCCATTGGCCGGGTGCCTAATGAGGACTTGGGAAGATTGACCTGTCGCCAATGTGGGGAAGGGCAGGAGGATATACTACATCTCTTACAGAGGTGTCCTGCTGCCCAAAACCACAGGGTGACAAGACATGACCGTATCCTCCTTAAGCTAAAACAGTGGCTACAGGGAGAAGGCTTCCATGTACTCTTAGAGCCGCGAGTACAAAGTGGTCACACGTTCGTGAAGCCTGATCTGATCCTGCAGAAAAATGGCCAGTACTCGGTGCTCGACGTCTGTGTGCCCTTCGAAAGCGATATTAACACCCTTCGCTTAGCTGAGCAGCACAAGATCGATAAGTACCGTGCACACGAGGTCGACATCAGGAGGTTCATTGCTAATAACAGCTCGCTGCCCCCGGTAGCTGCAGTGAACTTCCTGGGTGTTGCCTTCGGTGCACGAGGTGGCATAAGACCAGCCACTATCAAGCTGCTCAGCCGGTTGGGCATCAGACGCGCGGGCATCGAGATACTTGTCACAATGGCCATTGAGGGATCTATAAACATCCTTAGATCCCTCAGACTGCAGGCGGACGGCTAGGATGTCGCTCCGCGGCCCGAATGCTGGGGCTGGGGCGTTCGCCCACACTGCAAGCAGGGCAGTTTGATCTTATCCCTGCCAAAGAGCTCCAATCCACCGGGGTGCTGCTGCTCCCGGGACACACGCGGAGTTCGGGCCTGCTGTGGCGGGCGCTCTATTCTAAAAACTTAGACAAGAGGTTCCAACTCATTCATTCTTTTAAATTTTTAGCTAGGTTTTAGTCCTCTCCTGACAAGTCGGAGATGACCATCGCTCCGATTCCTTCTGCAACAGAGACACGGACAGCAGCCTCATCCATGAGCTCCACAAGTGTGTCACCACGAGCAACTGGCAGCCCTCCCAAACCAGCAGCCGCCAGCAGGGCCGGCGGTTAATAAATAAGGCCCTTAAAATATCTTAATGGGGTGGGATGGGGTGCCAGTTGCCGACTACATCTAAGACATCCGGTGACCAACATCCAAGCACTGCGGGGAGCTCCCTACCAGGATGGATATTGCGGAAGGGAAGAAATGCCAGG